CAGTAATAGCTTTAGTCTGCTATCTGTTATGTGTTGTGCGTTTTTGTTATCGCAACACACTCGCAACACACTAGTGTTTTCTAATATAAAAGGAAACTGGGAAATTTTGTGAGGGCATCAGAGTTCAAGCGGTCAAATGAAATAGCTTAAATCATTGTTCATAAAGCCACTAAGTCGAATTTCAAAATTCTGGGCCAAACCGAACAAAAAACCATAAGCCATGACTTGTGGGGTTAATTGTTTGGTGGGTAAAATGACACAACAAAAAACATACAGTCAGATATTACTCACAGCAAAAGAAGTCTACATCCGAACTTTCCCTCCTGATAAGTACTTCACATGGAGCTCACGGCCTGATATAGGTTTATTTGTGAATGAACATACAGCGCTCTGTCCCCAGTGCAATGAAATCACTGTCTGCAGTGCCTTCATGTGCAGCTATACACACTGATAAACTGTATAACTGATCTATCATCTCTTCTCATGTCATGGTTTGGTGTGGTCACACACAGACACCCTTCTCAGAAACCCATGACTCACTGTGGCTGTTTAGCCCACCTGTCTGGGCATGATCGAGGAGGATGAAACTGCTATCTTCCTCAATCAATCCCTTTGACATTCAGCATCTACTCTGATGTTTGAGGTTTTTGTTAGGCAGAAGTGCAATGACAACTATTTTACACAGAACTTAACTAAGGAAAGTGACATTTAATTATTTACAGGAACCCAGCACAGAAATAAATCAGCATGTGAACTATGAGAAGATGTTTCTCTCGTGTTTGCTTGTTAGAAATAAAGCTACAGCAAGTGGCTGGTGAGCTTAGCTTAGTACAAAGACTGGAAACAGGACAGAGGATGGCTCTGTCTGGAGGTAACAGAACCTACCAGAACCTATACATCTTTCTAAGTAACAAGTTGTATCTTCTTTGTTCCATCTACAGAAAGAACAAAGTGTAAAACCAACAATTCAGCGTTTTTGACATGCAGGATGGTGGGCCTGAAGTGTCCCTCCACCCTCCCACCTCAGCTAGCAGACACATCAGAAAGTTATCGATAGTAAATTGCTGTTTATATAGTTTTACCAGTCAAAGTTTTGTTACTGATTAACAAAGCCAGGCTCACCTCCTCTCAGTTTCAGGGTATGCACTAAGCCTTTGTGGTGGAAAATGAGTGTTGGATGGTATGTTTATGTTGCTAAATCTAACAAGTAGTGTTGATTGTTCAGAGAGGAGCAGAAGAAAACATCGAGTTACTGGAAACTGAGAGACAAAGACCAAATCTTTATAGACCATAAAGATGAGACACAGAGAGGTGGGTGTGCATTCTGGTAAGAATTGTTCTTGTTATGTGTGTCAAGTGTCTGGCTGAGAATTTCCACGACACCACCTCACTGGCTGCCTTACATGTTGATTTAACAGAGGTTTTGATCTTATTTCCTAAACGTTTTAATGACATTTGGCAGAATTATTTTCAAAATGTAACTGTATTTTATTACCCTTTTTCTCCAGCACAAATACATGTTACTTCTCCATAACAGACTGATTTCACTTAATGATACATGTATATGAACCCTTCTCCTGGCTGCGGTCATGAAAACAGATGTTATTTTAAGCAAAAGTGTTCATATCAGTCAGTAGAGTTCATATTTTACAAAGAATCACACAAATAACCCTGGCACACTTGTATATATTATGACATTTATTTAGCCCCAGTTGAATTGCAAAGTTCAGCTTTACACTTGTTGGTTCATGTGACTCATTTCTAGATACACTCCAGGTTTTGATATAGATTTTAAGTTGCTTTTGTGATGAACTTTTTTTAAAAAAAAGTGCTGACACACAGAAAATGACCTAGAAATCACTTTATTTGTTTGCCATTTAACAAAATCAAGAAGGGATACTTGATAAAATCTGGATTAAATCACAGTCAGGTGATACATTTGTAGTTATTCAACAAAAATTAATGCAAAAAGTCAATCACACAGATAATTTTGTTTAAAAAACAGACAAACTGAAATATTTAGCCTGGCTCTGCTGTAGGATTAGACATACGCTGGTCTCACAACAAAGTGGTAGGTGTACTGGTCACCAGGACAGGGGTAGGCAAGACCCTGGGTGTCATTTACAAAAATATTAGCCAGGTTGACCTTGAAGTCCTGAACCTGACAGATGTACTTGCCCTGGCACATCACCAGGAGCCGGTTACGAAAGACCATGTTTGTCTGCTGGGTGGAGTGGTGATAGGAAACCAGCCTTGCCATGGGAATTGACTCGCAGCGCAGCCCTCGGTTTGAACATTCAGACTGACTCCTGAAGACATTTGCCTCCCACTGAATCGTGTTGTCTTTAAAGATCAGGCTGTTGTGGACAGGCGTGTAGAACCCCTTTGTTGTGGTCTGACCGTATTGATTTTCATAATACGGCCTGCGGTTGCGTGATGAATATGGAGATGAAGTGCTCAAAGGGGCAAAAGCAGTGCTCCATGGTTTAGCTATGTAGATCCTTGGCTGGTAATCATCGTCTTCTCTGTTGAACTTAGGGTCGGCCGATAGATTGCTGAAGAGCAGAATATTAAACTGGAATGCTTTCAACATCCTGTCACGATACATATCTTTATGAGTGTTGCAGAGAGAGTTCAACTCAAGCGCGTAAAGTTTCTCTGCAGGAATCATAGAGAAACGGATGCGACTCAACAGGTCAGCCTGGACTTCCAAACTGATGGAGTCACCCTTCTCCGTGATCCAGCTCTCCACAGTCTGAAGCAGAAAATACTCATCTGGCACCACCAGGTCTGAGCGGGCTAGGAGGGCTCTAAGGAGCTCCACAGGCAGGTGGGTCCAAGCTGGAGAACTTGTCAAGTTTTGGTAGTTCCAGGCCATGTACTGGATACAGTTGTCCTGGAGAACCAAGTCTCCAGTCTCCTCTGCATATTTGTAAAGCGACACCTGGGTGTCAAATGAATCGTCTGCTGGGAGGACTTTAGATAACATTCGGCCTATGTCTTGCATCAGTGTCTTCACCCCAAACTCAGAAGCTATCCGGTGGAGGCACTGCACAGAGGAGAGGGTCACATCAATCTTGCGGGTGTAAATGTACCTATTGAGACCCAAAAGGTAGAACATTTATTAGAGTTTTTCCAGTGATTTTGCTTTCTATTCACATCTTCACAAATCACCTGGGTGATGTTAATATGAAGCAATACAGGTCATATTAGTTTAATTATACCTAATGAAGGAGGTAAAATACGGTTGACAGGTCTGGCTGACGTTGACCGTGATGTTAGTAATCCCCTCTGAGGCATTGAAGAACGGGACTAGTGAGAGGATTACTTTATGTGCACAAATTGTTGTTCCAACCATCTCCAGGGTGCCATCTTCCTGTTTGTTTCCAGTGGCACTCTGGACTAGAATCAAGAAGTCGCAGCCCATTCCACTCTCAAAGATTTGGTCGAGGTCATCAGACAGAATGAAACTGTGGTCCAGTGAGGATGAAAAATCACCGATGGCCATATTATTGCCTGGAATCACAAATCACCAGGATGAAGATTTGATAGACACTGTGATCACACTGAATCTACTTTTACTGACTGAGATGTCACCAAGTGTTCTGTGTAAATGTTTCAAAACCTACTTGCTGTTTCACAAATAACTCCGACATCCTCCTTGTGGGTGCAGTCAGATATTCCCCAGCCTTTGAAACCACAAGTGAACAGATGGTTCTCTGTGCCTTTACAGTTGATATCATCTAGCCAAATAGGCCCAGTCGCTGTGATGTCAAATGAATGAAAATACATGTTACCACATATAATGTGTCAAACACACATTAAACAGCACCCAGAGAGAGGGCTGCCCTTGTGCTGGTTAACATGTCAAACCTCACCCATTTACAAACATATTACTGCCCTCTGGTGGGGACTTAAAGGACATGCACCTTGTCCGTAGTCACTCCCGGCAACTGAAGACTTAGCTCCAGGGAAGCGGAGCTGACGACACACCACCTGGGCCTCAGCCATGTCCCAGCCGTCGTCACACACTGTTCCCCATTTTCCATCATGGTAGACCTCCACACGGCCTTCTGAAATGCTGGCAGAGCCAAACAGCCTCACATCACCTTCCTGTGGCCCTAGGTTTTCTTCTGTATGATGACACAGGTGATATTAACTATGATTGTATCGGCAGAAAATCACAATCTACAGTACATTCTGTGCTAAATGAGCATGATCAGAACAAGTTTGTACAACTGCATAATATAGGAATTACACAGTATACACACACATTATTCACATTAATTACAGCATTAGCAGTGTTTCACTTCCATGGATTATTTTCTAGGGTAAAACTGTATTAAAAATATTTTCTTGGCTTTCACACAAATGTGTTTCAGACGACTTACTGAGCCAGTCAAATTTGAATGCACTTCCAGAAGCATGGAGAAGTAGCAGAAGCCACACAGTATGTAGGTTTGTTGCCATTTCCAGCCGCCACTGAAGAATTCTGACAGACGACGCCAAGGAAGAAATGTAAGAAATATGTTCACTACACTTTGTTTTAGAAATTATGCCTTGAATGGCTTTGAGCTGCACTGAGAAGAATTGAAGTTTTTGCAGCTGTCTTGCCTACAGATCAATGCATGTATGGATTGTTTTTATGTAAAACCAGTCTGTATTTTCATATTTTCATTAAGAAGGAATGCAATATTCAAGTTGAAAGGACTAAACTGAATATGTGAATAAAAATTAAAAAGATCAAACTTAAAAGAAGACATGAGCTAAATCTCATCATATAATGAAGCCATGTTACCTTCTTCTCTCTGGTTACCAAGAGCAGTTTTCCTCAAACGTCCTATCTCAAACAAAGTCTGTGACACAAATCTCACCCCTTTTAGGTCTGCTAAAAAAAAGGAAGGAGAAACGTACAGTCTAGATTCACTTATCTTTTTCTTTTGCTTTTCCAAGGTTTCGCTTCATAAGAAAACAGAAAATCTGCCTGTTGCACAAGAGTTTTTGGTCTAGTCGAAACTAGTTGGAGGACAAGGTCTAGTTTTTTTTATTGAACCCATTTTGTAGAGAGGCCTACAAGAGAATTACCGGACAAGACTCAAAAGGAAAAACATTTTACATATAGCATATTTGATTGTTCATTGAATTTTATGAGGAAAAAAACAGACTTTAAGTTATTTCACTGCAAAGTCCACTGTTTACACACAATGTTTAATATGGAGTAATGGGGTGGGCTTTTACCTGTTGTGTGTGTGCACATTAAAATGTATACTTAAAAAAAATCAAAGCCTGATAAATCTCTTGTACATTCATTATAAGACAAACAACAGTATGTTTGATGGCCACGTTTGTCCCAGGAAGATGATGATGCCCCACAGCATGCTGGCATTGTTTGGTCTGACTGGCACTTTCTCAGAACCCACAACAGATCCACACTATATATTCTCAGCCCACAGTTTTTCTACGTGTTCTGATGGTGATCCTTTAAGGGTTTAAATTGTCTTTTACAAATTCAATGAGGAAGCAGAGTACAGTAACTTCAACAGTGACTGCGTTGTAAACAAAATAGAACCACAGTGTAGCGGCCTGGAGAGCGATTCCCTCAGCCCGAGCCATCTATATGAACTCCAAGCCCTCATATTTCACATCCCCAATCTTGGTTTCAGGTAAAAGGATGCGTCCATCAAGTGTGAAGGCTGTAATGTATGTAGCGATCTTTCCAGCATCTTCCTCTGACTTGAGTGCCAGAATAATCTGGTCATCTGTGTTTGGGACGAACTTGAAGGAGGAGAAACCGTGAGTGGAGATAAGCGGACCCACTTGACTTAAAATTATGTTTTTGAAATCTGGTGAACAGCTAAGGGCGATGTTGGTGCCACGACGCTCATCTGCCGTCTCCTCATAGCGCTCCTTGCTGGCACGGCGAGGGAGGAAAAACCAGCGCTGCAGGGTGTCGCTCCACGCTGCAGACTCATGGATGAGATAACCTGTGGAGATTCAGAGGAACAGGGTAAACAGTAAAGCAAAGGGAGAGAAGTGAAAGCATTTGTGAGCAAGATCTGATTCACATCCTCACCTGGAGGCTCGATCCCCACAGCAGTCTTCAGAGCTTTGTACCTGGGAACCCAGTTCTCATGCTGTACATCCCCTCTGAACCCCACAACTTTCACCCACTCCGGGTTGTTGTTGACAAACTCGCCTTCAGTGGTGGTCCACTCCTTCCCCAGGCCGCCAACGTACAGGTGCTCATCCTTCACCGCCAGCCACTCAGCTTTGAACCCTATCAGAAAATCAGAACTTAAAGTATCAATACAACTAGATACTCCACTACACGTCCTGAATTCAAAATCCTGCTTAAGCATAGAAGTATAAACAACAAAATGTATGGGTCCTTAACATGTACATAAATTACCACACAAAAAGTACTCATGATCCAGAGAAGTCTCACCTGTCAGTGATATAATATTATATTTGACATTAGTAGATTGTTAGCATTGGAGTCCAGCGGTTCCTTAAAGAGTCACATGATACACTAGAGGGGTTGGGAGCCACTTGATGTGGTAGGATATAAGTAAAACAAAGTTTATCTATACAAGTGAATATTTACCTATTTGACTTTCCACTAATCTTTTCTTTATTGTGAAATAGTGCATAACTTAACCTCTACGGGTCCTTAACATTTAAACGTGGAACTTTTGGAAATGGAAATGATCAATGTATACGTACTTCAAAGATGTACAGAACATTAGCCATTTTCAACCACTGGTTTCAATCTGGTGCTGAAGAACTTTTAAATTACAGTTGGCAGGGTAACACCGACCTTTGGCAACACTGCCGTCGCCATCAGGCAGGATGACCCAGGGTACCGCGTTGCCACCATCGATGTGGTAGACTACACCTGTTCTGTCATCGACACTATAGAGCTTCCCGTTGAACACCACCAGTTCAGACAGCTCCATACCCCGGCCTTTCTCTGCCAGGTGGCCTTCCAGCACCACCTTGTCGGCATCCCACTCAACTGCCACTTTGTCACCACTCTGGGACACCAACAGGTACCCCCGCTGCATGTAGCTGAACCACGTCAGCTCCTTTTCACTACGAGAGTTTGTGTCCAAGTCTGCAATGACCCCAATGCGATAGCGGGTGCCCTGCGGCGTGTGCTCAGGCAGACTGAGAGGGTAGGTGTCATTGTACTGGGCATCTGACTGCTGGGTGTTACTGTGGCCGGCTTTCCAGCTGTATGAGCTGTATGGGTGGGAGCGCAGGCCAGAGAACAAATGCATGAAGAGCACCAGGACCAGGAACAGGGCAAGGGCCGCAGCCACAATGAGTCTCCACTTAAGGCGGAAACGAGGGTCAGTGGTGTTGGCCACGGAAGTCAACATGAGGAGGCCTCCGACAGAGATAAGCAGAGCGTTCATACGTTCATTCTGCACAAGTCGAGTGAAGTCTGGGGAAGCAGGCATGGAGGACGGAGACCCGGGCTGACCTGGAGAAAAAAAACAAATAAAACAGAGATAGACAGTGAGTAGTATCCACTCGTAGAAAACCAAAGAGGGTGCAGACTGTCAAAGAAAGGAGAAGCCCTCATCTGTTTCACTGACTGATCAAGTGATGCATTTCCCAGGAAGAGGGCAGGGCCCCCAGCCACAATGGGCCTCCACTTAAGGCGGAAACGAGGGTCAGTGGTGTTGGCCATGGAAGCCAACATGGGGAGGCCTCCGACAGAGATACGCAGAGCGTTCATACGCTCATTCTGCACAAGTCGAGTGAAGTCTGGGGAAGCAGGCATGGAGGACGGAGACCCGGGCTGACCTGGAGAAAAAAAACAAATAAAACAGAGATAGATTACCAAAGAGGGTGCAGACCAGATTACCAAAGAGGGTGCAGACTGTCAAAGAAAGGAGAAGCCCTCATCTGTTTCACTGACTGATCAAGTGATGCATTACAGCTTTCACCAGTAATCGCACTTCTTCTTCTTTCAGCTGTTCCCATTAGGGGTCGCCACAGTGAATCATCTGTTTCCACCTAACTCTATCCTTGGCATCCCCTACTCTCACCCCAATTAAGTTCATGTCCTCTTTTAGCACATCCATCACCAGTAATCGCAGTAAATCACACTAAACTGTCTCGAGCGACAACTGTGCGACAATGCTAATTTAAAAACCAAAACTACTTGTTGGACCAGATCAAGCATTCCTG